CGGCCCATCGATCCAGCCTGTCCAGATCATGGTAAAATGGTAAGATTATCCAGACTTGCTATAATTGATTATGATTACTATTATTGATCATAATTGTATGCTTGAAGTGGTACAAAACTTCATGCTTTAGAATAAAAGCCAATCTCCAGCAACAGAAACAAGGGTCAGATCTAAGTGGATGGTATACTATCTTACAATGGCTTACAGAGAAGTTCTTACTCCTGTCTTTGAAGCATCAAGTAGTAGCTGGTGTTAGTGACAGGATATGGCAGATTACTGCAGAGCCCTGAGTTTGACGGCTACTCTTATATTCCCATGTCTGGGAAACCAGGGAAACAGGTATAAGCATTAACCAAGTGAAGGATGAACAGTTCTGGTGGAACAGAAACTATACAAATGGACACTTCAAACCCTATGACTGACATTTCTGAAAAACTGGGAAAATGCCACTGTTCTCTTTCGTAAATATTATTTGTGACCATCTTCCTGTTTCATCATACATTGTTGCATGACTGCATACATGACATTAAATAAAGGGGCTACAAAGGGTTAGCTAAGCAAACCGGGCTAAAAAAAACCTAAAATCACTTTGATAAGGACCATCCCCTTAATGCAACATCCAGTTTTATAAGCTTTAAGTTTTTAGCTACAAATTGGACAACAAAAGGGCAAAGAAAGAAGGTCAAAACATGCTGATTTTTTAAAATACAGACTTAGAGAGAGGATAGTGGTTTTAAATGAGGAAAGAAGATGTTGCCAGGGAAAAGGCTGTCAAAAATACAAAGAAGTATCCTGCAAGCTACAAAAGTCTTACTGCCAAGTCAGTAATAGTGGATATAGAACACCCTCTTGGACAATGGATGACTAGCAAGGTTCAGCTCTGATAAGGGGAACTTCCATATGGCAATGCAAAGTTTTGTACCTTGGCCCTTTGTGCTTTTCACCTTTGTTCAAGCAATACAATTTTTCTTGTTTTGCGGAATTATTTTTAATTACTTTAATTAGCTGCTGGTCACATGGTCCTCAAGTGTAACGTTTGCACCTAACTTTGGTTGGAATAGTTGAAAATGTCATGGTTGGTGTTACTCAGTGATCTGTAATGCAGAATACAGTGAACATACTCCAGCTGTAAAACGGCTGAACAGCTACAGGGCTGTCCCTTGATGGGAGTCCAAGAAGGCAGTGTTGCAGTTTATCTGATATCCATGACATTTAACTTGAACATTCCTATTTAACTTTAGAAATCTTGGTCTGTCTCATCAAGGTGCTGTAGGTGACAAACATTTCGAAACTTCCCAGAGGTCATCCAAGAAACTAAGGAAAGAGGAAAACTCTATATTCTTGCTATTACTGAGCTACAAAACATAGGGAAAATAAGTCTTTGAACCCTCTTCTTGTCACCACAAAACTGCAGACAGATCACAAGGCTAATTTAATAGTAGATCAATCAAAAATATGTCATCTTGGTACCCTTTAATAAATTGCCCTGATTGCTAATATTGTGGCAGCAGTCACCTGCTCATTGCTGGTAGAAGAGATACTCGACTCTGCCTCCTCTTCCCCTTTATCTTCATTCTTTGATTTCCAGAATCTCCCCTCACGAAGAAAACGCTGGTGCAGTTCCAGCTCATCACAGGCTTTCTTCCACCCCATACTGCGTTTCACGTGCAGCCGATGGATGTTAACTGTGATATCTTGAATGTTTTCAGAGGGGATCCAGGCCCTTTTGAATGCACAGTACAGACAGGTTCAGAAACATGAAATACAGATGAAGGATCTCAAACTGAGAAACTGACTTCAAAAGCAGTTTTTCACAGTGGTCAATCACTGACAATTCCTTTTTACTCAGAATTTTTGTATATTAAACACATTTGAAAAAAAATGGACTGCATACCATTCGACATTTGTGCTATTATAAGCCCTTGTTAGCTGTGGGTGCTATGGCTGAAAGTCTCTTTCACTTTTGGTGAGCCACAAACCTCCCACAGCACCAACAGCAGTCAGATCTCCTACCTGCTCTCTTGCTAAATGCCCTGAGTCGGACACAGAAACATTATTACTTGAGGTTTGTATGCTAATCCAATTTAGCCCTTGACCTCTTTGCTAAAACTGTCACGGAATGTACCAAATTATCACCTCAAATAGAGACATTTTGTAGTGTGGGCCCCTGTCTATCAGGACTGAACTCATGTGGGGACTGTCATGCTCTTTTGGACTGAACTGATGCCAGTAACTTGGTTCCAATGGTACTTTGTCCTCTGAAGTATTTTCAGAGTCCTCATACAGTTCAATGGGCAGCTCTTGACATTTTGAAAGGTTATATCAAGCAACACTGGACATTAAAGAAAGAGAGTCACTGCCATGCACATCTACAGAGTAAATAACAGAGTAAATACTGTAACAAATTAAATGTCTGCAGACAGATTCTCAGTTCTTGCAATATAAATTTCATTTCAGTGAAGTCAAAGAAACAATGCTAATTTACACCAACCTGGAATTTGGCCTTTTGTCCAAGTCCAGCACAGTAACTAAGCAAGGGCACTCTAGTAAAATGTATTTTGCCTTTTCTGTCAGCGCACGTTTAAGAAGTTGCAAGCACCTCATCCTACAAGTGTTACGTTACTTTATTAAATAGTTTGAAGTTGTGTGAACTTAATGCCAAAATTACTAATGAGATTAAGTTGTATTTGCAAACAGATTCAAGGTAAATCATTCTGTGATTGTGACACAAATAAAGATCCTTTACCCACTTTATGCCTATTAGAAAATCTTTGTAGTTCATATAACAAATGAAAACATGTTATATACTGTGCAAGTTACACTAAAAGCAATTTAAATAAACAGCCTCATAAAACACTGTTACTGAATTGTCTAGGCCCTTTTGGGACGCACCAAAATACATGACCTTCCCAAAGACCATGAGTTACTTTGCAAATGTCTCCTCTCCTCCCATTATAGGCATATAAATGAAATAGCAAAAAAAATCAGTACATCCACTGTAATAACACTACTATAACCCTCCCAAATGCTGAACAAACAACTGGAAACGGAAGTAAAAGCTGATATCTAAGAGTGAAGTTTCCAATGTAAAGAGTTATTCTCTGAAATTGCAAACTGGCTCACAGCAGGAGCTCTGTCAATGTTCTAGCAGTGAGACAGAAACATTTGTGATGTATATTATGTTACTAAAACACAAAATTGCAGTGTGTCTGCTCAGAAAAGAAAATTGCACACAGTCAATACTGCTGGTAGTAAGAGTACATTTCTGTCCAATTTTCACCTTGGCCTGGATTAGCAGGCTGCTACTGATTTGAAGAAACAGCCGAAGTTCACTTGCTTGCTTTAATTAAAATGGCATTAAGTAACATCCCTATGGTAACTGTGGAAAGGGAATCTCTGAGCCATTTGGCAACTTTGGATGTGTTAGACTGAGCTCTAAATTTTCTGAAACAATTATGGCAAAGTACTCAGTCTTTCTAATGTTGGCAACTAGCTGAGCCAGGATTTACAACATGATAGATGAGATAAATTCTTCTAAGTATTGTTTGTAAAAAGCAGCACATGGTATTAATAAATTACCTTTGGTGGTGATGGCCAAAAAAACGAACATCAACTTGATTGTCCTCTTTCTGCATGACTTTGGCTGGCCAAAACCCAAAGCCTTTCATTTTGGCCCAAACCAACTCATGATTAGGTATCTGGAAAAAATGTTGTATTTATTACTGGATATGAAGTATTACATTGATATCTCCCACAAATATTTTGCTGTAATACTACACTAGTATCTTAAGAATATGGTTGTTGTTTATGACTAGTGTTATTTTCATTTTTATCTTCTTACAATATGTATTTCCCTGTTAGATGTATTGCTTGGATCAAAGTGAAAAAAATGCAAAGTCTGAGAAGGGTGTAACTGTCTGTGGAAAACAGAGATCTTAAGCAGCCCAAAATTTAAACTTGTCTTTATAGCTTCATCCAGGAACAAGGTTTTATTTCTGTAAGCTCCTTATTTTCTTGTGAAACTGTTGTAACTGGCTGATAACCAAGTTTTATAACCTATATTGTTACAGCTTTGTACTTCAATCAACATTTCACTTGTGTAAAATATCTAGGCTTACAGAGTCTTAACCATCCTTTTGAAACAAGCCTACTGAAATGGAATATTCAATGCATTAATGACACCAAAACTGCAGGCTTTTATACAGAAAATCAAACAAATAAAAATCTGTGTCAGCAACATACACAAGGATAGCAGAACCAATTGTCAGGTCGCGCATTTGACAAATAGAAACAGTTCTTGCAAAGCTGCAGTTCATCCAGCTGAAAAACAAAAAAAAGGTAAATAAGCCCAAAAAATCCTATTTATGTGACTTCACTAGTATCCCTGTCTCTTAAGTAGTAAAATTTTTCAGCCCTGCTTGCTAGTTTGGTGGAGTTACTTCTGTTTGTGCAAACTAGAGCTGTGAAACTGAGGTGAGCTGAGAGTAGATGAAAGACAAACTGCAGAAATGTTATTCATGTTTTAGAAAAATGAGGCAGAAGGAAGAGACTAATTCAACTCTTAATGATTTATTATAGCTAAAATGCAAAGAATAGTTCATTTAAATTCATCAAATATTTAATATACATTCTGAAAGAAGTAATTCAGCTGTACAAATAAAGTGTGACAGCTCCTCTAGCTTTATTTTTTGGTCTCCTCTGAAAGTTGAGAAATGTTTCAATGCCAATTACAGAATATGGTAGGAATCTCACCTCAAGTTCTACTTATATTAGCAAGTACAATTATTTCTAGTCCAACTATGTATTAATAGATTATTTTCAAAACTAAAATCTGAATATTGGTATTTTCCAAATGATAAGTCTAGTTGGGGAAAAAAAAAAAAAGAAAAAGGAATACTGAATCAGCTGTTAGAAAGTTAGGGGAAAATTTATAACATACTTCACACCCTTTTTATTTTTGTAATATGAAGAATAATTTTCTTAGATTCTGAAATGAAAAATCAAGTATCTTGTCCACATCTTGGTTACTTGGTACTACTTACTTCATGACATGTGTCTTTGTAAAGCATCCTTGCTATATCAGCTTGTTCACTGTCCGCTATAAATTAAAAATAAATTATATGAACAATCACAGTACGATCACACTGCTCACAAAGATTTGCAGCTGTCATTGCTATGACTTTCATGCTATAATTGTCTTGCTTGAGAATACAAAACATAATTTAGTCCCTTGGATAACCCTTCCAGTTAAAATTTTCCAACAATCAGTTCTATATTTGTTTTCTCTTTCATATTTATATGCAAAAATACTGTTGGGAGCTTTTAAAATGAACAATACAAGTACACATCTGAGGAGTGGCAGCAGGGAGACAGGGTTGCTCTTAATATGGATCCAATTGTTTTCTCTGCTAGGGTCTTAATGACACACTGCAACTGTCCTAAAACATGGCCCTCTGCTATCACCACTTGACAGGAACACAGGTACAATCACGTAAGTATTTCTGCTCGGAGTAATGCTTCATAGACTATTTATCACTATGTGTTTCCTTTTACACTTGTGTATTTCTCTATTAGCGCATTCACATCGCTCCTTCATTACCAACACCACTGTGGATCTCCTGATGCTGCAAATACACTGGTCCCACCCTCCTCCCAGTTTCCCTGATATGAGCCGTGTCTGCAGGGGAGAACCCCATCCTTCTTGAAATGATGGCTCTGTAGAACCTCGCTATAGCTTCTGGACATGGTGGTGGTGTTCTTCCACTTCCAATCAGACTGTCCCACCGTATCAGTCACTTATTACCTTCCCAGTGGCTGGCAGCTTCTCTGATGGCTGTACTTCCACACACTGCACCAGCAGGACATTTCTAGTGTGGATGTAGCTATATTCACTGTCACAATATGGCAGATATTGCCCACAAGTGAAAAACACGTGTCTGTAGCTGACACAGCACATCAGAGACCAGACCTCTTTCCACCCTAGAACAACGTATGTATACTGGCAGAAATCTGCAGTACAGACTGACTTATGACTCAGGCTGCAGAAGAAACAGGATGGCAAAGGTGGAAATTCCCACTAACAGGTTTAGCCAGAGAGGATGAAAATAGTTGTTTAGTAGATTGGCCAGAAAAGACCCTCAAAGTCCTCTTGCAACTTTGATTTTTAGACTCTCAAATGACCTCATCCACACTTAAGATTATCTAATACCAAATTCAATCCTGAACCTGTGAGTTTCCTACAGATAAAGATAAATCAAATAAAGCAAGCAGTAAATGTAGTATTTTACCTCCATAGAAAATCACTGTGTTGTGTAGAAGTAGCTGAGCATCTGCTTTGAACTCCTCATAACTCCTGTACTTTCCTTCATTTACTTTCTACACAAAAGAAAACATAAGACTGTGAAAAAACTGTTAAAGTGCTGGAGCTGTTTTATGCAGAGAAGCTTTCACAGAAATCTGCATTATGCAACACAGATCAGACACTGCCTTTCCTGCATACAGAAGAAATACTTACAGCTCTTTGACGTGGTTTGTTACTACCTGAACATTGGCTGCATTGGTCCCTTTATGCAATGCCCAGAAATAAATAGGTGCTTTAATATCTGACTAAGTTTTAAAAAAAATTCTCTTGGTTGTAACAGGGTGAATCTGGAGTACCTTCATCATAAGGTTTGGCTCAGAACACTTGTTCAAATTAAAATGTATTCCCTGAGGTGAAGATTTTGCACCTTAAACTATCAGCTAGTTTCAAATCAATGTTGACTGCCTTTACACTTCCAGGATCTTCACTTGACAGTCAGTGTTTTCTGATGAAGGCTGACTGTCTTAGTCTTCCAAACTCGTAACAAATGACTACATGGAGCCATGCAGTTCATTGTCCTATTATGGTCTTTCGTCTGATAAAGAATGCAGCATTTTCAGTTGTGCTCTGTCAAGAACACCTATGAGAATTCCAATCATCAAACAAAACATCATCAGTTTCTCAGATGTTATCAAGGCCAAAAGACCATCTGTGGAAGCAGGTGAAGGTGACACAGTGAAAGGAAAGCCTGACCTATTTTCAGGCTCAACCAGTGTTGCCAGTACTTCAAGTCAGCCAGCAGTGCTGGTCTCCAAAACTGTCAATGAAGCTATTGTTTATCCATGTGTTTCAATAACAATAACGAAACAAAGGCTTTTCACATCTATGGTTGTAAAGGGCAAGATATACTACAGTACTGCATAGTAATCCAGTTGCAGCATTGAATAAAGATGAATATGCTGTTCATTTCGGTCATGTGCAGTTGATTTGCATGAGTCATGGTCAGACCTTTGGTTCAGAAAAAAAGGACAACGTATTTACTAGTACTTTATTTTTGGAACAATTAATGCATAACAGATGTTTTAAGTGAGTCTTGTTTTTTCACGATCAACAAAGTGATTAGTTCTTTATGAATCATTTAGATGTTTATAAAGTGGACACCTACACAAGAGCATAATGAATAAAACTGGAATATAGTCAGAAGCATTGGGCCCGATATGCAAACATAGGCACTCACATCCATATTCAGTGACTTAGATAAAGGGTACTTCCTCTAAAGATTTCAACTACCTACAGCTCCTAGTAAAACCTTAGTACAAAAGGAACTGAGGATACTCTATGTCTGAAAACTAGGCACCACTCAAAATGGTTTTACTCAGTTGCCTATTTATGAGGAAAAATTTGAAATTTTAAGCTCCCATATCCAATGCTGGATACAATACTGAAATACTGATCATAAGGAGAATTAAACAGGATTAGTGCTTTAGTCCTTAAGGTTTATCTTCACTGTTAAATGACACTATAAACAGTATGGAAGTTAGAAAGCAAGTCACTCTACCTCCTGTATAGTAGGAACATCAACAGCTGAGTGCACCAGCCTTCTATACATTGGGTGTTTGTTGTCCTTCCCTTTCTTGTTTAGATCTATAGCCTGAAAGGACCATGAGACAGTGTAAGTTACTGCATTTAGAATCTGCTTAAAACACAAAAGACATTAAAATTGCAATAGTTTGGAATATTTCAGTTGGGGAATACCGACAGCCAAACTGTCAATTCACAATCAGATTCACAATCTGACAGATTACATGTGTCTCAGACCTGAAAAATGTCCATTTCAGAGGAGCCACAGGCCCATGGCATAAAATACTCCTGCCAGAATGATACTAATCCGAGCATTGAGACCTGATAAGTGTATGTTGAAACACACACACCACTTATGACAGGAAATAAAATGACATTTTCTTGTAGCCCTCCTCCCTGCACAGTCACACATGGCCAACTGTAATGCATCCTCTACAGTGCAACCCAAGACTTCAGTAAACTTCCGTTTCAGACTCACCCGCTCCTTCATACGAGAGACTATGAATCGCAGGTATGTGCTCATCTCTTGTTTACTTGTGTTTTTCTTCTTGATACTCTGTCAAAGAAAAACAGGATCATATTATTATTTTAAACTTGACTTCAAAATTCATTCAATAAAATTTTTCTCTGCATCACAACATTATTTGAAAATGTAACTTTGAATCACATATCACACGATTTTTTAGGGAAAATATTTTCTGGGAATTTAGTAACACTAACACATCACAACAACTATATATCTTGCTTTGAATTATGACTGGACTGAGGACTTCAGCCACAGAAGAATTACAGGTTTTATTTCCACTTGTATCCATAATGCTTTGTCAAAACCTCTCATGTAAAAAAAGTGTCTAATTAGAATAAAGCAACAAAGGCATTTTAGGGAGCAGTTTAAAATTTATTTAATGGTCTTTTTATTAGCAAGGCATTAATATTTTCAGTAAAATAAGAAATTATTTTTTAAATAATATCCTGTACCATCTACAAAGTATGTTTACTAGGCAAAATGACACTGTCTAGGAGGAATTCAAATAGGCTCTAACCAGTAAAAACTCAGAGCACTTTTTACTGCTCAAGAAACATAGCAGTTGTTGATTTTTTGTGGTTCTTCACAAAATCTAACCCAGATTCTGGCACACAGACTGCTTCTTTTTAGCAGTTCAGGATCCAGAGTTTTTCCCCCCTCAGACTAGTATAGAGACTTATCCCCACCCTTCAAAGTCAACCCAGGCTAGTGGGAAGCACTGCACACAGAAAATGTGCTGTTAAAGAGAAGGTGGCTCTCTACAAATGCCTCTCGTGCTCTTACAAACCAGCCTTTTCAATTCCAGGTGACAGCAGCTGTGCACAGTTCTGCATGGCCTTACAACACCTGGCTGAAAAGTGCTATCTCCTCCTTGCTTTTGCCTACAGTAGTTCTCCAAAACAAAAGCACAGTGAAACAACACCATGGGTTCCAGGTTTATTATCCTGAAGTGATTTCTAACTGCTCACATCTCTTGCAAAAACATTTGCTCCTCCTCACAGCTCTGAATACACTGAGTGCCAAGCTGAGCTCTCCCCTTCTCATGCCTCACATCACCACCACCTGTATGCAAACTGTGTGGACCAAACTGGCTCAGTTACACCTGCATGCTCAAATTTTGATGGTCTTAGCAAGATCCGCATAATTGTGCAGATGACTGTTCCTTAGCAAACACAAGAAAAAGCAGAATCCATGTCCTAATAGGTAGCTAAAAGAGGTATGAGGCTTATGAATTATTAATCACTAGAAGTGTGCTATTTTTTACTGAATTACTTATATATGACTCTGAACATATAGAGGGAGCAGACACGTTGAGTACAGAGCAACTACTTTTACATATTTACTTGGCAAGAGTAAAAATTACACATTAGTGCAAAAATAATTGATAGGATTTGATTGTGTCTTCTCTGCTTATATTCCTCCTGTAAGACACTGAGGACACTGAAAATCACAGGCTGGCCCTTGTGCTACAGCAAGTGTGCAACCTATACATCTCAGGATTGTACTTACTACCTCCTTCTTAAACCAAAATTGTACACAGCACTACCAATGAAGCTGTTTACTTGATTGCTTAACAGTATGCATAGAATCATTACAAACTGTGCTGAAATATCAGTTCAGTCATGAACCTATATAGATACTACAGTATGCATAACAACACTATAGCTTTTTCCTAACAGGACACTACCACTGTTGCGTAAAACTCACTATTGTGGAAAGGGCCAGCACCAGGTCTTTCTAACACTTAAAGTGCATTTAAGCATTATTTTCGCAATATTAATGGTTCCCTGACCTTCCTTACACACTCTGGAATGAGACAGAATTTTACCCTGCACTGTATGTCTGAATCACCTTCTGTATATTCATGTTTTACTTTGTCTGTTGTGAGAATGTTCATTCTGCTGGAATTCAATTCACCTATTCAGTTTTGCATAAACCAACATTGCTACTGCAAATGCAAACCCAAATGTGCATTAAATTATCTGCATTATGAAACACTGCTGTCATTTTGTCATTTTAGGCACTGGAGTGCTGTATGCTTGCTAATGACACAGCACTTTAAAAGACTGAAACTTATTAGGACACAATAAAGCTCACTTGCACTGACTAGTCCTTCTACACATCTTTTTCTGACACGGTTCTGAATTTATAATCCTTTGAAAGTATTTCAGAATTCATGCAAACCGTTTTTCATGCCCTGCTGGGCAAGACAGTTTGTAAGAGTCTGTGTTGAGATACATGGTTTACAGTCTTACCCTTCAGATCATAAGATAGATAGCTGGCTTTGTATCTTTATTGATGTCAGCAATTAATAACATCTTAAACACCAATGAAAATTATATAATTAATTTGCCAATTCAGGTAAACTTGAATTTCTCCACTTTTCCTTCAGTTCCCT